TTCCTATTTTCTAAGTGTCATTTGTCACTTGACACCCTGAAACAAATGAATAGGTCAACTGGCGTGATTCTTTTCCTTTCGGTTTCCGCTCAAACCAATCTTGCGAGGTTGTTTATCTCAGTTCTACCATTCTGTTTAATTTCACTGGTTTGTTTGTTATGAACTGATAAGTCATGTTGTTTCCCTTTGTTGCTTATTTTATTTGATCTTGCAACATTCTTGAAATTGTATTTGTGGTATGTGGCATTATTTTGAAGCTATTCTACATAAATTTTCTGTTTTTGCTAAAAAAAGATTGTGACAGCTAGGGTCTGTGCTGCCGTCTTGTGTATGTTTTTCTAATGCAGGTGATTTTGTGCTTGTTCTCTCAAAAGTTAAATATTTTTATCAGTTGAGTTTTTATCTCTTGGATCATAGTTTGGCATTGCTGTCATGCAAATGTTACTAATTGGTTTATTCCTATATACATGCATCATTCTATTTATAATAAGATATCTACTTGAGGAAAGTGTAAGTTTAGGGTAATTTCTGTTACTCTTAGAGAATTTTTTCACATAATGATGCATGAAGTAAAGTTGACTTTGAGACCTCAAGGCCTCATCAATGATGTGCTCTCTAATCATATGCACTTTTCGGTTCAAAAGTTGAACATTTAAAACATGAAAAAAGAGAATTAGCAGTGTAGAAACAGAGCCAAGGTAGAAATGATATTAAGTACTCTTTAAAACTTATTCTTAATTGAAATATTTATATTTCTCATTAGTCCTTGAATGTAGTTGAACAATAATGTGTCTGATTTTGTTTGTGTGTATGGTATTTTCATGTGGAATGTGGGAGTATTGGGTTCACTTGACCATCTAAGCAGTGTCTTCTACATTCTGTATGGTTGTTGAGAAATCATCTTAAGTTGTAAAATATGCCATCTTGAGATGAAACCTTAGAACAGAACAGCCTATTTACACAAAAATCATCCAGTCATTTGATTGTACCACTGCTCAAATGCAAACCTCTGTTGAAATTTAATCACTTTCTTTGGAAAGAGAGTCTTCCTGCATAATTAATAGTGTTGCAATATGCCATTGCATATTGCAATTAGTCCATAATTGTTTAGATCGTTATTCCCAGTACGCACCACTCTTTTATTCATATGTAATTAGCTATAGATTGCGCTAAAAATTATTATTCATAGCAAGTGTGAATATTTTGTATTTAAAAAAGCGGTTAGGGCGCAAAAAAATTTAATTCTCATCTCTAAGAAAGGTTGTCTTGTGAGGATATATTTCTTCATGCCGGAGACGAAAACCACATGAGGAAACAAATAGGATTTGCTCAATCACCAAATTCAAATGGATTAAACTCAATGATAATGGACACAAACATTCACGTTCAAACAATGTCCTCTTAGAAATAATTTAAAAATCACATAAAAAGCACGATTAATTCTTAACATCCCAGCACCAGTGTTGATTTTCTCTACACGTTCCTTTGTTGCTGACAGTAGTATTATTATTTTGGTAGCCTGAAAGTTTGAAATTTGAATTACTCAAACACTATTGTACTAATAAACTGAGCAAAAGTTCTATGTGTGGGCAGCACCTGTAAAGTTATATTTTTAAGTTTTTAGAGTCTGTAGTAAACTGGCACATGTTCATATCAATGCTAACAAAGAACTTTACTGCATATTAACTCTTCAATTTCAAAGAAAATTTGATGGACTATGATGTTTTAAAACCAAGAAGGAGTACCAATCATGGCTCAATTTATCACCTTGAGTTTCTTGTTGGTATAAGTGTTTGACCACAACTCATGTCAAGTACAAACTCCAGTGCTTAGTTGCTTAGTTACTGAAGCCGAAGTTGTTCGTGAAGCAGCAAGGCAAACCGTAACTATTTCTAAATTTTTTTATGTTTTAAATTTTGATAGTGAATGAGCTAGGGGCTTCTACTTCCTATTGTAAGGACAGGTAACAGGTAACGAGCATTCTATGATTGGTGTTTGCCATTTGATCTGTCAAAGCACAGACCATGACTAAAAACTGGTTTTTTTTTTTTGCTTTGTCTAGCATGAGGCACAAATTTAAAGTTTTCTTTGTGAGAGTTTACTAAATGAAGGCTGTGAAAAAATCAGTCAGGAGCTGTTCCAAAAAAGCTGAGTTTTTAGTGACTTAAGGAAGACTTTAAGTTGTTACTTGGCTGCAACAATCAAGCATAACAAGTCAGTTTGTGATATTCTATCATCATGCTTTCAGCTCTTAATTCTTTGTAAAACTAGTAGATGCCATTTCGTGTTGTTTGTTTCATTTTTAAATCATGGCAGACTACAAGAACATCAGCAAGACACATCAGCAAGACATCTTGCCTGTGGCTTCAAGGCTCCTGTTTTGTTCTTAACACATTTTTATNCCTTATAGAGTTAGTTTTCACTGTAAGTTGGTTAATTAAACAGCAGGATAAGATCTAACTACCTCCAAACTATGCTGTTATTAAAGAAATGCTGCAGGGATGAATTGTGCTGTTGGCTGGGATTTTTAATGGGAGATAGTGTCTATTTACTGTACATTTGCAGGGGTTTCATTAAGGGCCTGGGCACCAGGCAACAACTAACCGGTTGTGAGGACGGTTTTGCCCACCTGGCGAATGTCATTCGCTCCGACGAAGGGCTAACGCTCCAAACGTCAGCTTTTATAATCGTAACGGTGGCCAATTTACCATTTCAACTTTGTTGATATATTCAAATTATTTCGTTATCCCCACCGACGCAGCCCCAAGCAGTTTCTTTAGAAACTATCAGCCTTTAGGTTTCATATAGTCTTTCAAACAATGGACTTGTCAATCAAGTTAGCTTCGTTTTTACACTGTGGATAGCGTCGGGTACAAAGATCATTCATTAATCCCAGGGTTCTCTAACTCCTTTGTAGGCGTTTTTTTGTTCCAAGAATTCAAGCGTTTTCTTGCAGGATTTTATCTCTTTCTGGTACCAATGTTGTACAAATTCCAAAAAGGATTTCATCACATGACAGCGTAATAGGAATTTTGCAGCTGGGGTCACGCGATCAATTTTAGATAGATATTATGGGATACAACTTGAAGAATACCAGAGATGGAAAGAGCATATCGAACATACCAAAACGGCCAAGTTTGGGCCCCGGCAATTACAGAGCACTGTTTTTACAGCCGTTTGAACTTTCGGAAAATTTAGAGGATTTTTATGGAAAATGTTGGTGGAGAGCAAGGCCTTGCTCTCCAGCAACTTTTTCCATATAAACCTTCTTATTTATTAAAAAATTCAGAGTGTCATCGAATCTCATTTTTGAATAACGGAGGCCTCAAACTTGGCCATTTTTGTTATTTTCGAAATGCTTTTTCCTTTTCTGAACTCGGCTTATTTATAGCCCATAATTTCATGAAAAGTAGGTCACGTGATGGCTTAACTGCAAAAGGCCTATTCCCATGATTTTTTATCGTAATCGTAATCGTCATCGTCAGGACTGAATACTTTTAAGTATTCCTTCGCATCGCGTTTCACCCTTCTCAAGGAATGATCGTCAGTATGAAATTTCATCACATCCAATAGTTCATCCAGTGCTAAAACCCCCAGCTTCGGGTTAGTTTCCAAAGTGCTGTTCATGGTGTAAAAGTTCAAATGGCTCAAAATCTTTTCTGTCATTTATTTCATTTGGAAGTTCACAAAATAGACATGTCAATCAAGATAGCGTCGCGTCGTTTTAAAAATAGCAATGCGTCGTTTTTTATACAATACATAGCGTCGTTTCCAAAAGTCAACGAGATAGCGTCGCGTCCTTTTAAACAATGGTAAAGCTAGAGCGATTCTAGCACACCTCAGTTCAACCGAGAAGGGAGCCAGATGTGCAAGATGCAAACTCCAATGAAGAAACCTACCAAGGGTGTTAAAGGTAAAAGAAATCATCCTTATGCCAAGAAAGATGGACTGGATTTTAAGAAAGATTATGCTAAAAAGTATCCTGGAGGAACTGTGATGATAGATGGAATTCCTTAGAAAGAGAAAGCCAAGAAAAACTGGGTCCAGAAGAAAAATTCCAAAAATCTTACCTTGGATATAAACCACGCGGGTCCAGTCACCCAGGAACCGATCATGGTGGACGGGTGGCTTAACCCTCTGAAATCAGAAGAGTCGCAGAATCAAGGACCGTTGACACAACTCACCACTTTGGTAGAGTCCATTAATCCTGATTACTCACAAGTGCAGCCACAAGCCCAACCTCAAGTAGAGCCACAAGTGCAGCCACAAGTATAGTCACAAGTGCAACCACATGTACAGTCACGGGTGCAACCACAAGTACAGTCACAAGTGCAACCACAAATACAGTCACAAGTGCAACCACAAGCCCAACCTCAAGTACAGCCACCTGTGCAGCCACAAGTGCAACCACAAGTACAGTCACAAGTGCAACCACAAGAACAGTCACAATGAGTGCAACCACAAGTACAGTCACAAGTGCAACCACAAGTACAGTCACAATGAGTGCAACCACAAGTACAGTCACAAGTGCAACCACAAGAACAGTCACAATGAGTGCAACCACAAGTACAGTCACAAGTGCAACCACAAGAACAGTCACAAGTGCAACCACAAGCCCAACCTCAAGTACAGCCACCTGTTCAGCCACAAGTGCAACCACAAGTACAGTCACAAGTGCAACCACAAATACAGTCACAAGTGCAACCACAAGCCCAACCTCAAGTACAGCCACCTGTGCAGCCACAAGTGCAACCACAAGTACAGTCACAAGTGCAACCACAAATACAGTCACAAGTGCAACCACAAGCCCAACCTCAAGTACAGCCACCTGTGCAGCCACAAGTGCAACCACAAGTACAGTCACAAGTGCAACCACAAATACAGTCACAAGTGCAACCACAAGCCCAACCTCAAGTACAGCCACCTGTGCAGCCACAAGTGCAACCACAAGTACAGTCACAAGTGCAACCACAAATACAGTCACAAGTGCATCCACAAGCCCAACCACAAGTACAGCCACCTGTGCAGCCACAAGTGCAACCACAAGTACAGTCACAAGTGCAACCACAAGTACAGTCACAAGTGCAGCCACAAGAACAGTCACAATGAGTGCAACCACAAGTACACTCACAAGTGCAGCCACAAGAACAGTCACAATGAGTGCAACGACAAGTACACTCACAAGTGCAGCCACAAGTACAGTCACAAGTGCAACCGCGAGAGAAGGTAGTGGAGGAAGGAGAGATTCCTGAAGCAGGTAATTTTTCAGGATCCATGAATACTCATTATGGTACTTTGGCAGAATTACTGGCCGATGTAGAAGTGTGCTACCCTTGTCCTATACACAACGTGGGAATGAACGAATTGAAATCCAAGAAAGAATGGTGCCAAGAGTTTTACCTTAGTTGTCCTGTCTACAACTGCCCCGTGTTCATGAATTTGAAGGAGTTTAATGTATACCACGACCAATGTCGCAAACAGGGCCACGACTGGTTTACCTTAGACAGAATAGCCATGATGAAGTGCGAGTGTGGCGAGACTCCTACATTGGCAATGTCCAAGTCAGAGCAAATTTCAACTAGCTGTATCTTCGATGTAATAGAAAGTATTGCAAATTATTCCAATGGTGGCGATTTCTACCTAACCAAAAGAACACGATTATTCTCACGCGTTAAGAACAGTGATTAATGTCTCGTTATTATTTTTTTATAACTTAGACTCGGATAATGAGGACACGACTGAGCCCGAAGATATTATCACCATCAGAGTACAAGTAGGGCCCGGGAAAAAATTACTTTCAAAAATTTTCCAAGATAAGGACATGAAACGTAGCTTTCAAAACTATACCTTTATGCCATCAAAGTTATTGAAGCAGTTGTTCCCCAGCGTAAACGTAAACTCTTTTGAAACCACATTGTAAGCAAGTCGTTTCTTTTTTTCTTAGATCGTCAAGAAGGACTGGAAATAGCTTTTACCCTGGGTGAATCTACTAAGTTGGAAGAGCTTACCAAGGAAGACCACGTGGAGATAGCCTGGTTATTAGCAACCAAGTTTAGGAATATAGCTGCTAGATTAGGATTATCCGAAGAAGATATGAAACGTATTGCCGACGATGTAGCTTTTTTAGAGGATCACATGGATAAATAAAAGAGTGTTGTATTAAAAAATGTGTGTTATTTTATTTGAACCATGGGAAATCGCAGAAGAAAAACTAAGAAAAAAGGTGCTCAACGCGGGGGCGCTTCTATAAGAAAAGTCAATAGATTATTAAGGAGAGGACCCTCTATCACCGATAAAATAGGCTACGCAGCTATTATGTTTTTATCAGGTCCCACCCTCGGATTCGGAGAACTAGGAAGCGTGTTAGGAAAACAGGCGTTTAAAGGAATAATGGATAACGTAAATCACTATAGGAAAAGGCGACGATAGAGTTTAAAGCATTAAGTTATTACAATGTCTCTGTGGTGGAAACAGTGTACGCGGAATTTGCATTATCGTCTCAAATCGTACCTCTGTCGAAAAATCGAAAGGTATGTGTTTAGCGAAAAAGAAAGAATACTCTTCGAATGGGTTCCACCCGATCATCACGAAGAATTGTACGAATATATACTACGCCCAGGAAGTAGATCCTTATCGAAAAGCATTTTTCATCTTACGTTATTCATGAGAGCGTATAGAAACAAGTATACATGTAAGTGGTATAATTTCCTGTATACCCCGTACCTTTCCAAGCATTGGGTGGTGTGCTACTGTGTCAAATATTGGTTTTGTTTGCTGCTCACTACACTATGTTCAAGGTTAACACCGCCACCACCACCTACGAATTACCGCGAGTCGTTGGTAGTTTAGGAGAAATCATATGACCAAAGTCAATAAAATACCCATCTCGCAAGCCAGATCGGAGTTAGAGAGAAATTTAGCCTACACTCTCCACAAACCGCGCTGTCGCCGAGGAGACTTTGCACCTGTCGTAGAATTTGACATAGACGAGCAATGGGTGGCCGATCTTATCGAAGTACAGACGATTGCTAAAGAAAATAAAGGGAATCGATACATTTTGATGGTCATAGATGCCTTTTTTAAATACGCGTGGGCTACACGCCTTAAAAAGAAAACCGTTAAAGAGGTTACAGAAGCGTTTACTAAAATATTAAAACAAGGGGCAAGACCACAGAAATTACAAACGGATGCAGGAAAAGAATTTTACAACCGCACATTTCAAGAATTGTTAAAATATCAGGAAATTCATCATTTTTCCACGCACGGAGATGCGAAAACCAGTACAGGAGAAATATTTATTCGTACCTTAAAATCGAAATTATATCACTATTACACGGCAGCCAATACATGGAAATATGTTGATCTCCTTCCAAAACTTTTGAATCAATATAACCACACCTTTCATCGCAGCATAGAAACCACCCCTGCTAAAGTGAATGAAAGCAATAAAACTCAAGTGTGGGAATCGCCGTACGGAGTAGACACAAAGATAAAGAAACCCGTGTTTAAACTCGGAGATAAAGTGCGGCTCAATAAGAAATTTCGTACGTTTACAAAAAGTTATTTACCGGGTTGGACAGAAGAAGTATTCGAAATTCGTAAAGTCGTACCTGGAAAGGTGACTACCTATAAACTGCGCGAATTAGATGAGACTCCATCCATTAAAAGGGAGTTTTTATTCACGGGATTTACAAAAAGTACAAGTGGATGCATCGACTTATTTTCGCGTGGAGAAAGTATTGAAGAGATCGAAAGATAAATTGTTCGTCAAGTGGAAAGGATATCCTAGTAAATATAACAGCTAGATTTCTCAAAAAGATTTAAAGTAATTCGTGACATCACGAGGGGTGGAGCTTTGCGAAGATTTAAAGTATACATCCCCGGAGAACAGAAAGGTGATTCATCACACTAATGGGATTACCGTCCTCCCCCGTTTTTTGGGAGCTGGGATAAGAATCAGATGGGTTCAGGGATCAAAGAAACGGTCAAAGATGTGACCCGAGAAACAGGGAGAGTTAAAAGGACATTCACTCAAAGATCGCTTTCCGAAACACGAAGTGAAGAGAAGAGTGAATAGAAAAATAGATGACATATTTGCGGATTAATTGAAAACATTTTATATTGGAATGAAGCCAGACAGGGAAGTGCTCATATCGGCGTATGATCGTCGTCTCCCAGAAATGCAGTGACTACGCTTTTAAAAAAGATATAAAAGGAAGAGACATCGGGGGGGGGGATTTGTACGTATAAAGAAAATAATAAGGCGTCGCCGACCTCAGAGACGCAGGAGACGTTGAACCATCAACATGTCAATCAAAGGCGCAGAGAATAACCCTAGTTTAAATTTGTTTCGTGTTCCGCCTGTAGATCTTTCTACGGTCAAATCACGCTTTATGAAAGTGTCACCCCAGACATCCAGCATTACACCGATTGAAATGTATGTTCCTAGACAGACCGAGTTTATTGATTTGGGGAGACGTTTTGTGGAATTAGATTTAACATTTAAAACCACAGCCAATGGTAACCTTACTACCAGAGCAACGAACGCTGCTAACCTCACATGTTCGGTTCGGTGAATAACGTAGCGCATTCGTTATTCAAACAAATTAATGTCAAGCTGAATGGAACCCTCATGACCGAACAAGTGGACATGTATCATCTCAAAGCCTACATTCACTCTTGAATTATGACCATGCAAACGGGGAAACGATCTTACAAACAGCAGGGTGGAGAAACGAAATCGATTCGCCCGGGACTTATACGGGAATGGGGTGGCGGGTAACCACGCAGACCTCACGGGTCCGCCCGAAACTCAGAGAGCAAGTATCACAAAACAGAAGGCAGATCTGTGTACGTATTACTCAGGTGGAAAAAGAAGAACTTTTAGAATGGTACCCTTTGTAGATATTTTCCATCAAGGGAAATGGCTTGCTCCCATGACCCAGGACAGAGATAGATTTAAAATTTCATCTCAATCCGGTGGGGCTTTACATCAACGGAGAGGCGAATTCATCTGATGAAGCCGTGCGGGTCAAAGCGGTTGATATCAAACTTACCTTCTATGTCTGCCTAGTGTCTCTCAACCCCTCGGTGTATGCCAATGCAACATCAGTTGGATTTATGTATGTAGAACCTGTTTTAATACTTGCTGATGTGTTGAATAAACAACTCACGACGTCTGAAAATATGTCTCCTCGAGGGAGAAGTCGCTGTTAGCGTGATGGAAATGTTTTTTGACCGGGCTGTTGCTCTTTGAAACGATGGAATAAGCGATGAAAAACATGAGGAAAAACATGAGGAAACCCCTGGTTAAGCGATAGCTTGTTTGAGAAAAATTCAAACGTTTCTGAGATGCCACTTTTCTCCTCGAGCTCCTTGGAGGATCTGTCGGGAAAGGCAACATCACGGGAACTCCGGTCCAAAATTGTGGACCTGTATTCATTCAGTTGGGCATCGCTCAGCTTAAGTGACCCATTTGTACCTACTCATCATTGCACAAGAGAAGGTTCAGTTTTGAACTGATTATCAAAGCTGTTTCGTTCTCATAGATCATGACAAATAAGCAATGTAGGTGTTAAATCACTTTAATGTATCACGATAATATTTAATGCTCAAGCACACCATTTCAATCTCGTGCTGTTTCGGGGTAGCTGTTTCAGTGATCTTTTGTATTACCAAGCTAAGAAAATAGCTAGAGATACACGTAACCAAATTAAACAAAACTGAAAAGGCTTAAATGAGTCATTTCTTGGCGATTTATACCTAATATTTCTAAATTTCGAGACCATTAAGGATGTCAATTTCACAATAAACCTTGCGCAGGGAGAAAAGTTTGTCGGTCGATTTGACTACATATTTCGTAGATGTTCTCCCAAAAACTTACACTTCCCTTGTATCAACGTGACCCAAATCAAGCGGCGAAAAAGCGATGAAGTCTCACCAAAAATGTTTTTTTTGTTACGTTAAGACTACCTTTATCCAAACATTTCTTTCTAGCGGGCTGCGCTGTTTGCCCCGTGGCTATCCCAAATATCTTTGCGCAAATACAAGGATCTGATTACTGGCAACTCATTCATTAACTTGTTATCCCCAGCGACGCAGCACCACAGTTTCTTTACAAACTTACCTCGTTCAAAAATATTTCGTCTTAATGAGAAACAAGAATTACTTGTTTATTTCGAGATCCGAGAAAGAAAGCCACCGTGGTTATAGCGCAATAAGCCAAGAGGGCCGTTTAATTTTTTTTTGTTTT